AAGCTCAGTCGGCTTCTAGGATTAAAATTCACTTGTAAGGGCGAGTATTATTATTTCATTATAATGTATGAATCTGAAGAATGATTGTGAATGTGATGTGAACTTCAAATCGCTCGAGGACTAAACATTTGTCATCATTTATCAGCCTCGTAAATTTTAATAGACGTTCTTGCAATCGGCAATAATAATTTATATTTATTATAAGTAAACTGATTGCATCACATATGTTTTATTTTTACGTAATGCAACAAAAATTAAAGGTCTAGTTCTCGGTAAGTGATAATCAGTAAACAAATTATCAATGTATGCACAGAAAACAAATGTAGATAAATAAACGATATTTAGTAGTACAAGGATTTGTTATTTCAAAATAATATATATTTTTTTTAATAATGATTATTTATATAGTTTTAAGTAGTTCAAGGATTTTTGATTTCTAAAATAAAAAAGAAATAAATTGAATATTGTACGTTTCAAATTACTTACTCATTTTTATTTTTTAACGTAAATGTAAATATCAATTTTAGGCATTTCAATAGACTGTGATTTGTAATTTAAATGTATCAACAGAAATTAAATAACTGCTGATACGGCACTCAGGGGTGTTTGTTTCTGCATTGTGCCCTTAGATTATACAAACCTTAGATGGAACATAAGACACTGCGCATAATCCCATTTCAAAATGATTCACACCCACCAATCACAGTTGAGAACATCACATGTCAGACCGTTGTCCATCCAAATTTAATGTGTCAACGAGAATTAATTTGGTATTTTAGTGACTTAAATTTTGGAAATTAACGTTGAAAATGCCAAGATGTGTTGTAAAAAGCTTTATTTACAATAAACCTGTGAAATGTGACGGAGATAAAAGAAACTTATATTTATTTCGGTGAGATATTTAATTTTTAAAGATTCTGTCGACGTCCATATTTGTTGATTTGAAAATAAACAGAATCGGACTTGGTCATTGGTACATGTTATAAGTAGCAAATAAAGGTTATTATTATAAACTGTTTACTATTTCTTGTTTCATAGGGAATCTTTTTTTAGGAAGTGAAAAGAGAAACATACAATCAAATACAAAAATATCAATTTCATTGACAATTTATTCGTTTCAAACTTCACAACTGGTTTCAATAGTTTTCTCAAAACTATTTATTTAGTAATTATCTATAACAGTGTTACTCAAAGTGTAAAGCCAAAGTTTCCGCGAAGAAAATAATCACAATAAAAAAAACAGTACTATCGCCACAAAATGGAGGGACCTGGCTTGAGGACCGTTTTTTGGGAAGTAATTTTTTTAAGTCACTAACAGGAAGGAGGATATGATTTTGCCTTAGGACTTTTTTTTAATTAATTTTTTATGGGTGAAATGGATTTGGGATAATTTTTGCAAGGAATCTTTGGAATAAATCAAAACTAAATGATGCTCTTGTGCATTTTCAGCCTGAGTTGCCGATTCAATTATTCGTAGATGCATCAAATGTGGGAATAAGGGCCATGATATGTCATGTTTTTAAAAAATAAAAATATTGAAAAATGTATAGCTTCTGCTTCGCGTACCTTATCAAAGTCCGAACAAAAATATTCCCAAATTGAAAGAAAGGTCCTTGCAATAATTTTTGGCTTAAATAAATTTAAAGAATATTTATATGGACATTTGCATAAAGTAGAACATTATGCAACTGATTACGAAAAGTTGATTATGTCACCAGTTACGAAATGAACATAAATAAAACTGCCTCTTTTTTGGTTTCTAAGTTGAAAAATCGAAAAATCGTGAAATCGAGAAATTGAGAAATCGAGAAATCGAAAAATCTAAGAATAAAAAATAGAAAAATCCAAAAAAACGACAAATCGAAAAAACCAAATATCGAAAAAGAGGCAATGAATAGTGACATTTCACATTTGAAAATATGACATTACGTTTAAAAACAAAAAAGAAAAGCTGTAAAATGCGTTTAATTTTTAAAATAACACCGTTATTGAAAACTGCCCAGAAATGTTGGGGGTAAAATTTTGACGTACTTCTTTAAGGATAATGGGTAAAAATGTTTTTTTTTTTCAAATTTCTCGCAGGTAATGTCAAAAATTAGATCGGCAACACTGCACATGTCCCTTATTTTTATTATTACTATTGAAAAAAAAAAAACGTCGTAGGGCAATCAAATACAACAATTTTCTAAAATATTTGATTGGAAGTACCTACACAAGAATGATGGTGAATCATTTTTCAACACAATTTTATAAATAATCAAGTCAAAATTAGAAAAAATCTTGTATAGAAACACGTTACGAAATGCCGTTTTGTGTAAGTCGTTCATGTTGCGGGAACTCGCTCCGCTCGTTTTGCAAATATTTACTCGTTACACAAAATAAGGCATTTCGTAACTGGTTACATAAATAACTATTAATTGACTTTCTAATATTTTAATTCATTGAACGGTATTTTCCGTAAATAATTAAATCATAAATATTTACCAGGATATAAGTACCAAAACATTTTTTTCTCTTAGAACAGTAGGCCTATGTCAAATAAACTTAAAATATTATAACGAACGAAAAGGTAACCCATTTCTAATAAAATTTAGTTATTTATTTTATTTTGGTGTGATCGTAGAAAAAATCTTGTGTGTAATTTTAGCAAAAAGTACTTATAAACTTTTACTTAGGGTCGATTTCACCGTTTTGTTAAACGAAGTATAAAATACTAAACGAAGATTAAAATGACATTTTTATATTAACAAAAACGAAGTTTAAATTACTAAATGGAGTTTAAAATGACATTTTTACATTAACAATGTCATTTTAATCTTCTTTTAATAATTTAAACTTTGTTTAACACAACGGTGGAATCGGCCCTTAGCTAGTTATATATTGATAAAGTGTTATTGCCCTCGTCATACATGAATCGTGCTAACAAATAAAGTCAAACAAACGTCTCATAATTTTTCATCTTTTAATTACCCACCAAAATTAGGTACTACAATACAAATATTTAAGTCCGGCCCAGAACATCTCCCTACTCCTTCCACCTAGTTTTTCGGTTTTGGCAAAATTCGCGCAGCGAGAAATGCTTCCTATGTTACCTCTACCCTTTCTAACCTCTTTGGTTGTGCCCGACATGTGGGAAAACGAAGGAACTTTATTTTAGCCAGGTCATTTAAATTTTTCATAACGAGAGATGTTGAATAATATAAAACTTTGTGGTTTTCAGTGGTGAAATACACGTGGCTACAACTGGGAAAATATTGGTTATTCTCACTATATAGGGGTACATTTAGTGATTATAACGTAATAGTCACTTAATCGAAGTGGCGATATAAGTTTGTGTCACTATAATGCTACTTGGGAACTGAAGCGTCAATACACCTTTCCCATTACTCAAATGCAAAGAAAGAGCGGGACTTTTTGAATCTAGTAAATTTCCAAACAATTTATTTTCCATTTCTCTTTTATCCTCGCCCTAGATTATATTAGATTTGAAAGGAGTTGGACATTTGTCATTTTGACATTTGTCATTGTCCACCGTGATCTTCTCAGATTTATTGTTAGACTTCGTTAATTAGACTATGGCGTCTACTTTGCCTTTCTTATTAGACTTGGTAGACAAGTGGCTCTCGCATGTAGTTACATGCTTCTGACTTCTTCACCTAGTGTCAGAAACCTTAATCTAACCAGCTCTTCACACTGGCACAGGGCGTTGATTGATGTTTCCTTTTCTTCTTAACAGAGTCTGTACAATGTTGCTTCTTCTGCTGGATTGATGACTCTCATGTGCCTTCTTAGTCGATAGTGTCCGGTAAGCAGACCTACTGTTATCCCAACGATTTGTCGTTTTGGATGCACTAGGTTTTTCATGAACTTGGCCGACGTTTCTTTCTCAATCTTGCACAGTTGTTCCACCATTTTTTAGACTCTTTTTGCATCCATTGTATGATGGATGTATTGCACAATGCCTTAGCAACGCTACCGAAGGGTTCGGAGCCTGTCATGGCCTTATCTGAGCCTTCTCGGGCTAGTTCGTCTGCATTTTCATTGCCCTGATATCCTTCGTGGTCTGGTAGTACACTTTGTTTTTGTCTACAAAGCTTTGTCAGGTCGTCTAGGCAGTCTTGATTTGATTTCTAGTGAGAGAATTGCCTTTAGAGCAATATCGTTTTGTCTGATACTTGCCGATTTATTATTTCTCTTGCAGTGTTGTATGGATATTACGTAGTTCGGTCTGAAACACTGTGACGTAATCTCCTAGACTTCGCAAAATTGTAGTTTTCGACTTGGGTCCAAAAATTCCAGCATATGAGCCTTCCTTGGTTTTTAACCATCTGTATACTAGACAGACGAGTTAAGTCTGTATGGGAGGTCCCTTTTTCCAGAATTCTCGGGCTAGTATTTGAATTTAAACATTTCTTTCAACAAATTTGTATGTGGTTATGGCTATATCAATAAGAATTCCTCACACTTAACTACAACTGTTGGATTGGCTCTAAATACGCTTTAAATAACTGTCATCGAATATCGGCAGGTGTATTTTTAAAAACAAAATTAAATTATAAACACAAACTTTCTATATCAAACCTATCTACAAATTTTGGTGTTTACAAGAGGAAGTACGATTTGCGCATGAGTAATAGAGAATATTAATAAGAAAATATCCTATTGTTGACCCATTATTAAGCTAGATCATGACTTGAGAGATGGTGATAACATTACGCCCTAATGAAAGAGATCTTTCTTTAATTTGTGTTTAAAAATATACTGGATTGTTTTAAAGAGATTGGAGCGGACCAAAAGTATAAATCGAACGTTAAAAGTCATTGTCAAATGCCAAATTATTCTTTACGGGAGTTGCTAAGAATTCAGGAAAGATGACTTATAAGACCGTCAAAGTCAAAAGTAATCCTGCAAATATCCCGTTTTAATGTTAGAACTAAAAATACGAAGACAGTCTTTAGTTATATCGAAGTTTTATAAAACTGTTTATTTTTTTTTTGCAGGTGAGAAAAAGAAGAAAAAGTCCAGTTCCGGTTACGAAGAAGCAATTGGAATTTCAACGCCCAGTAAAGAATTTCAATAGTTTTACCCATTTTTATTATTTATTGTTCTAAGTTCGTTGAAATACTCTCTATTTGAAAAGTATAAATAAAAATAGCGCAGGTTATAATTTTATGAAAAATGGAAGTTAAAACTTTATAAACATATTATTACCAGGACTTCTTACACGGCTTATATAAACTTTTTTATGTGACATTGATTTTTTCTTCTTTTGAAACAATTTTTTACAGCTCTACGTTGACGTGATAAGCAATGGATCTGTACTAAAGTTGTAAAACTAAGGTCCATATTTATTAACTGAATACATCCTTGAACGAAAATCGAAATACGGGAATTAATAGATCGATAGTAGCAAATCCTGTACTGTTCGTTTATGGATTTATTACCCGTATTACCTGGAACTAGAGCAATTATACCCGAACTTCGATTTTCGTTCAAGGTTGCGCTTAGACAAGATCGAGTTGGCCAAAATGTTTATAAATACGAACCTTAGATAAGTTTCTGATCCAAACCCGATTATTTTTTACACTTAATAATTTTTTCAATCAAAATTAATGCGGTCGCGGCCTATATAATTGTGCAAACCGAAGCTGTCATGGTGCGGACGTGGTTGCGGTATTATGTGACAGCAGACATGCCTATAGTTGCGGTCTATGTAAATCTATGTGAGATGGTTTCTATATGAGTACACTTATTGTGGGGTTGTAAAAAATGGCAATAATTCATCAAAAAATGATATTTATAAGCTGTGTACGTTCTCCTTTATTACAGACATTGTCGAGTTTTTCGTAATCGAGTATTTAAAATCAATCGCGATTCTTCGTTGAACTTAAGAATTTGTGTATATTTCTTAACGATCTGTAACTCTAATAAATGAAAGACTTATTAAAAATAATAATAATACTGAATTGCTTTATAATCCCTATAGTTTATTTAAAAAAATGTATATTGTGAAATGAGATCAATAAATTATATTGTTTAATATAAAAAAGTGATTTTTATTAATTGTCTATTCTTTCCCAAAAACGTTCATGGAATTAGAGTGAAGTACCTTTTAAGTTACACATGTGAACTTTCTGTGGCTTTGGGTATAAGGAAATCAATGTATATAAGAAAAATAACCTTGAAAAACTCGGATGATGTGAAAGATATGGTGCTAGTTTGGCGAGAATGACCTCCGACCAAATACTACAGAACGATAAATTATGGCTGACAACGATAAGTACATACAATGCATATACGGGGGGAGTACGAATAGTAATGGAGGTGTTAAAGATACTGAAACTGTTTTTAAATTCACTGACTGTATGCCTACAAATAGGTTTGCCACATTTCCGGAAGTGAAAAGCGTGGCAACCGTGACGATAGAGCATTTTTATATAATCAGCTCCATTTTTTGTGAACATTTCTAAAAAAATCGTAAAAACGAGGGTCTTTTACCCGGATATTTCTCTATTTTTTTATAAATCCGATTCCTCTGCGGCTTTTAAAAGTCAAAAAGCGTGACGTCTGGCAACCCTACCTACAAACAAGGAGTCCATTGTCTTTTTTCAAAAAGGGTACCTTATGGTGACATCGAACAAGAGTAACTTTTTTTGGTAAAAACTCCATGTTTTAATGCCAGAAAAGTCAAAAAAATATTTTTTTGAAAAATTTCCGACCGGGAGGTAACGACAGAAATTTCCGAGTCATTTTCGCAAGTTTAATTTTTTTATATGAGTTATGCAAGTAATATGTAACTCTAATATGACGCACCCTTACGACAGAGGATTGCAATTACAGTAAAAAAGTTATAAAAAAAATCATTTTCGCATGCATGAAACTTGTTGTACAGTTCATCAAATTTCTAGAGGCTTTCGACGGCTAGACAGAGAAAGCACTACTGACAGGCATCCCGACGGATTTACGCAATGAAAGTACACTCTGCGCATCAAGTATTTCACTATTTCATTCAGACGTAAATGTCAGATGTAAATTTCGCTAAAACATTTCTTTTATTTTCGTTTGTGTTTTTTGCTCATTACAGTTTAATAGAACCTAAGTATGGAGTTTAATAGCAAATTAAGAGGCCGCGTGATTAACAGTCAATCTCGCGAAATAAAAGCCAATGTTATAGAGTTTATGAGAAGAGAAGGAAACTTTAATTCACCTTCAATACCATTTAAAAATGTAAATGATCGTGTTGCTGCAGCCACAGGAGTATCTAAAATTACTGTCGTCCGCATTTCTGGAGAGAAAAAAAGAATCGATAACCGTGAGATATCGGAATTTTCATCACCAAGAAAAACCATTAAAAAACCAAAAACAGTTAATGATATAGATGAAGCTGCACAAGAATCAAATTTTATTTTTTTATTATTAGATAGCTATTTTTGTTTCTGAGTTGTGTTCATTTACAGGCTCAATTTTTTTCCGTTTCTCCTTTTTGATTTTATATGGGGTTTCAAGTTGTTTTTGACTTATTTCGACGTAAATCACAACAACAGACTTTTTTAATAAAGCAAACAAGTGTTAAGAGGTATATGTACGTATAAACTACAATTACAAAAAATTGATATGAAACCCATGAAACCACCAACAAAAATGTAAAGCTAGCTTCCGTACTAGAACATGGTGACATTCGTCGAGATAATTTATCGTTTTGTTTAATAGATCAAGAAATGTAAATATTCCCCTGTTATTTTTTATAAAATTATAAGAGAAATAAATTTTTTTCTAAATAGTATAGTTTATTATTTTGTAGAAAAACAAAATTTCGAAAATTTTAGTAATGTTTCAGCAACAACCGTTATTAATAATAGGTACCATTTTCCTTAATAAGGTAGAAATTAAATATAAAATATTTCCACGATTTACAAAGGCCTACAAAAAAATTATAGGTATTTTCCGCTATCCTATAAAATTTATATTTTCTGACTCAATTTCAAAAGGTTGAAGGAATTCCAAAACACCTTTTATGACATAATAATTATTTTCAATTCTACATACTATCTTTAGCTGCTTTTAAAAACGTTCTAAGAAAGTCCAATCAGACCAATTTAATCCCTAAACTATTCCACACTTTTAAAATTTAATTACCTAAAAATATTAAAAACTATTTAAAATAACTTGTTTAGCAGACTGTACAATAGCTATCTTAGTCACACGTAGCGCGTTCTCTGTCTGGGCGTCGAACACCTCTAGAAATTTGATGAACTGTACACGTTAATTTAAACAAATAAAGTTTAGAAAATATCGTCTTCCACCTGAATTTCACGACAAAGTACGTCTTCCACCCATCTAAAAAGGCAAAAAAAAAGAAAAAAAAAATTATATTCGCAAAGCTGAAATTAAGTGTGATGCTTATTTTTGTAATAATAAAGCTAAAAATAATAGTCTTCCATCGATACAATACAACAAAGGTCGTCTTCCAAGCTGATAAAGGTGCGCGTCACATGCGGCACGTGCTAGTTATAAATTCCAAAACGGAACTTTTATTTTTTTAAATTTTATTAGGCAAAAATACACTTAAATAAATATTTAAGTCAACTCTGGACTAAAGCTTACACTAAAGCTACCTCAAATAACAATAATATTTTTTTAATTAATCGATCTGGTGTGAAATATTTGTTTTCTTTTTGTAAACATCTATAATGTTCTAACAGACTTGATTGAAACCGTTTCACTGGAGAATTTGAAATACCTACTATTTTTTTGCGGAAGTGATATGTAGTTGGATATGATGTAGTTTACAAAAATCTTCTAAATCGAAATTTTTTAATTATGTTCCACTGTCGGTAGTAATTTTTTGTGGTAGTCCGTGATGTGAAATAAATTCTAAGAGTTATTCTACGACTTAAATTACTGTTATACAATCTAGGGGATTACCCTGACCATATCGCTAAAAAGAATCGATTATAGTCAAATAAGATTTATTAGAAATGTAAAATATATCTAAATGTATGTGTTCAAAGAGTTTTGATGCAGTGGGTGCCAAATTAAATTTTAGTACTGGTGGATTTCGATCATATTTATTCTTTAAGCGTGTTTGACCATTATTAATTAAATTTTCAATATCATTAGCCATTCAAGCCAATAATATCTGGAACTAGTGCTTAGCTATTTCATTTCTACTACAAAGTACAATATATTTGGTTTTTGAAAAATTCAAAGATCAGTATATTTTGAAATTTATTAAAGAAATTTATAAATTCTTCATTGTGTTCTATTTTTAATATTTTTCTTCAAAGAAGTAGTTATTTTTGCAATATCTTATATGGCCAAAGAATTATTTGAGATTTGATGTATATTTTTTTGTATTTTAATAAAATTAAATTAAAAGTAGGTATATGAGTACGTGTTTAATTTTCACTAGGTTTATCTCTGTCATGGGAGTTTTTAATACTTTTTGAATTGTGTTCCTTTTCTCTTAAAATTTGAAAAACATTTAAATTTTATTATCTTCCTGTTACATTTATATTTACCCAGTGTTTTCATTTCAGTCTTAATTTTATTATTAAGTAATTTGTTAAAAAAAATTGATAAGAAGCTCTATAAAAATTCCAATGAAATACATATATTTTGTGCTTTTAAATTTACTTACTTCAACTAGAGAAATTATAAATACACACACACACACACACACACACACACACACACACACACACACACACACACACACACACACACACACACACACACACACACACACACACACACACACACACACACACACACACACACACACACACACACACACACACACACACACACACACACACACACACACACACACACACACACACACACACACACACACACACACACACACACACACACACACACACACACACACACACACACACACACACACACACACACACACACACACACACACACACACACACACACACACACACACACACACACACACACACACACACACACACACACACACACACACACACACACACACACACACACACACACACACACACACACACACACACACACACACACACACACACACACACACACACACACACACACACACACACACACACACACACACACACACACACACACACACACACACACACACACACACACACACACACACACACACACACACACACACACACACACACACACACACACACACACACACACACACACACACACACACACACACACACACACACACACACACACACACACACACACACACACACACACACACACACACACACACACACACACACACACACACACACACACACACACACACACACACACACACACACACACACACACACACACACACACACACACACACACACACACACACACACACACACACACACACACACACACACACACACACACACACACACACACACACACACACACACACACACACACACACACACACACACACACACACACACACACACACACACACACACACACACACACACACACACACACACACACACACACACACACACACACACACACACACACACACACACACACACACACACACACACACACACACACACACACACACACACACACACACACACACACACACACACACACACACACACACACACACACACACACACACACACACACACACACACACACACACACACACACACACACACACACACACACACACACACACACACACACACACACACACACACACACACACACACACACACACACACACACACACACACACACACACACACACACACACACACACACACACACACACACACACACACACACACACACACACACACACACACACACACACACACACACACACACACACACACACACACACACACACACACACACACACACACACACACACACACACACACACACACACACACACACACACACACACACACACACACACACACACACACACACACACACACACACACACACACACACACACACACACATACATTAAATTTTAAAC